AATGCTGAAGGCCCAATGTAAAAGATGGCTTCCATAAGGTCTGACACAGTGGTGGGATTCAAATAATTTAACAACCGGTTCTCTGCCCTAATGATTTCTTCCAACAATCAGTTCACCAAACTGCTCAGAAAGTTAACAACCTGTTCTCCCAAAGTGGTGCGAACTGGCTGAATCCCACCACTGTGTCAGACCTTATGGAAGCCATCTTTTACATTGGGCCTTCAGCATTGGGGGTGTTACTTGGAACCCTGACACCTTAATTCTAACCATAAAAACAAAACAAAACGTTTGCAAAATGAAAAGAAATTAAAAGTAAACTTCACTTTCATGCCCATGTATTGTTGTAACTCTTATCCCTTTTGCAAAAGCCTATTTTGGGGGAGTGACGGCTGGGAGAAATAATATTTGCATGCATTTTGTGGGCATAGAGAACTGATGAGAATTTTTATCTACTCTGTAGGTGTCCTCTTTAGCATTGAAGTCACTTCCACCTATTTTGCAGTTCGTAACTATTGGCGTGGATTCTTTGCAGCTACATTCAGTGCCTTTGTTTTCCGAGTCTTTGCTGTCTGGAACAAGGATGCAAGTAAGATGAGAAGAGGCATCTCCTCCCAGTCTCTCTTGCCATTGTTGCTGCCTCCCTCAATTAGCTTTACACACAACTTCTGGAAGATTATGGGGATAGTGGGTAGGGGAATGTCTGTGCAAGGCAGAAGGGTTTTTAGTAACAACAGAACCATTTTTAACAAGGTGGTATTAAGGCTGAATTATTTCACTCTTCTTGGAACACTTACAATTCCCCCTCCCCAGAAAAAGTTCTTAAACCTGAGATGATGGTAATAAAGAGTGTTCTTAGGCTGTTCTCAGACTCTCTCATTGTTTGGGTACTGAGGGCCTAACTTCATGTTTTTTTCCCCTTACCTGGTCACCCTGGTTGTTTCTTCTTTCCACCCCCCTCCTCACAGTCACCATCACAGCCCTCTTCAGAACAAACTTTCGCATGGATTTCCCCTTTGACCTACAGGAGCTGCCGGCGTTTGCTGTAATAGGGTAAGCCCACTGGAGCACACCTAATTGCAGTTGGGGTTGTGGGGGTGAAGAAAGGCAAGCCATATTGAAAATTGTCCATTTGAAGCAGTTAAATTAGAAAGTTCCATATTAGAAACAGGTAAGGTCTCTTTTGAAGCATACTCAACTCTTAAGGGGATTACAAAGAAATGTTCACGCAGTTTCTTGGGAACAGCATAGAAGTGGTTAGTCATTGCCTGTTCCCCATACAAGTCAAACTTTTTTCACACCTGTATTTCAAGCTGCCTTATATTAGCAAATATATGCACCCCAGCATGATGTTGCAGGATCCAATCTGGATCAGTAACCAGCAAGACCACACTGGGAATATTGCATCTAGTTTTGGTCACCACAATATAAAAAAGATGTTGAGACTCTGAAAAGAATGCAAAAAAGAGCAATTAAGATGATTAGGGGGTTGGAGACTAAAACATATGAAGAATGATTGCAAGAATTGAATATATCTAGTCTAGAAAAGAAGGACAGGAGTAATATAATAGCAGTGTTCCAATATTTGAGGGGCTGCCACAAACAAAAGGGAGTCAACTTATTTTCCAAAGCACCTGAAAGCAAATCAAGAAACAATGGATAAAAACCAAGGAGAGGAGCAACTAAGGAGAAATTTCCTGACAGTGAGAACAATCAACCAGAGGAACATCTTGCCTTCAGGGGTTGTGGGTGCTCTATCATTGGAAGCTTTTAAGAAGAGACTGGCCACCCATTTGTCTGAAATGCTATGGGGTCTCCTGCATGAGCAAGAGTTTGGACTAAAAGACCTCCAAGGTCCCTTCCAATTCTGATGATGATGGTAATCATGATGATCTTTTGGACTCATGCTGGATCCATCCTCAGGGATCTTCTCTCTACTGGAATGTGTGCTTTGGGGCTGATCTATGTATTTATGTGTTGCCTGGTTGGGTGTGGCTTTCTATTGATTGATGGGATGTTGATGGCCTGTTATTGGCTATTGTTTCCTTGTGCTGCCAAGTCCTTGGCTCCTAAATTCCTTATAAACTGGTGGTAAATCAGCACTCCTGTTGACTGACAAGGAAATGTTTTGTTTTTGTTTGGCAAAAGGGAAATTACACTCTGCTTTGGGATGATCAGATGTAAAAGAAAACACTAGATATTGGTGTTAGATTTTTATTCTGCCTTTTCTACAAATTATATAAACAATCCCTTGCTCAGTTTTAGAGACTTATGAGCTAGGTTGCACTGAGAGATGGTGACTGTGTCTCAAAATTATTTGGTGAATTTCCATGACTGAGAGTGGAATTCCAATCATCGTCTTAATTAATATTTTTGGTTGTGTAGTTTATCATTAGGATTGAGAAATATTGTATACGCAGCAGTGACGTGCGGTGAGGTTTATGGCTGGTGAGGCAAGCGGGCAAAAGCCACCCTATGTCGGACACAGTGGCAGGGTGTTCGGATGCCCCGCCGCTGTGTCTGACATAGAGGCATCCCGCATCTATGGCAGACACAGCGCTGGGGCTTTTGAATTCCTCCCCCTCCCTCCAACCCACATACCTTTTCCAGCTGTTCCACAGAGGATTTCAGCTCTGCT